GTATCTATATAAATAGGAATAAAACTGCTTGGAAAAAATAGATACTTTAAAAGGAGAACCAGAGGTGAAATAACATTATGACAATAATTAATGGCACTAAATTGTACAAGGGGGCTTCAAAAAGTTCACAGAAAAATCCCACTGCTTCTTAATGCATTGTTTTCATAAGATTTTTGAAGCTCGATTATATACTTGGAAATGACTATCACGATATATTTTACTAAAATAAGAAAAATAATTTTAGCTATATCTAAGCAGATAGTGGACAAATGTAACAAATAATGTTAAAAAGGGGGGAGGATTAGAGAAGCGTAAATTCTCAGGCATTTTACATGCCGGCAGTTTAACTCCCTCTGGTTCAGTGGTGATTGATTACTACTTCATGATGTCTATGCTCAAGCCTAACTTTTGGAGCGTGCGCCCTTCCCAAGTCCTCCGGAGGTTTCTGCCTCTCCATTACCCACCTCCCCTGGTGGCACTTGCTGTGATGGTGCCTGAGGTATCAGATCTGAACCCAGAGTTGGAAACCTCTGTTAATGGATTCAAGAATATCTTACTCTTTCAGTTGTAATAATTCAGGCTTATGAGAGCAGGTCAACAAGTATAACTGCAAATTTACAGAAAAAAAATTTTTTAAACAAAAACATTCAATCAGGAAGCTATTTTTCCTTGACACATTGAACTTCTTATCTATCAGGTCTTTTCTTGAGAATAATATTACGTTCACTACGCCAGAATGCCTTTTAAGGAGCAAAATAATTCTCTTCATTATTGTTGAGTGCTGTCAAATCGGTTCCAATTCATAATGATCTACAATACAACAGAACGAAACACTGCCTGGCGTTTATGAAAACACTAGACTCTTCAAATCTGTACTTTTGAGCTTTGGAAGTCATCTTTCTATGTCTGGAAATGACCACACAGATAAGTGACCAAGACAATGATGAAGCACGGGACCTCGCAATCCAAATGCACTGTGCCCCGAGGATCCATAATTGTCGATGACAAACATGAAGGGGCATGAGTAAACTGGTTTAATTTGAACTCCACAAAGGTGACTAGAAAAAACCCAGCCACACCAATATCTCCTCCAGGTTGTTTATTAGTTCCATGAACATCTAAGGTAAGCTTCCCCGTTTAATTGAATAAAAAATGTTTTTGGAAGTTTTTATCTTACCCACTAAGAAGAAAGATAAAACTAGAAAACTAGTTTAAGAGACGTTTGCATGTGTTTTAGATGAACAGAAGCAGACGAGGGAGGTCCTCAGCAAAATACATATAAACCAAACACACGTCATCCACTCACCGCCATTGAGTGGATTCCTCTCATAGCAATCCTACAGGACAGTGCAGAACTGGCCCTGTGGCTTTCTGAGGCTGGAACGTTTAGGAGAGCAGACAGCCTCGTCTTTCTCCCTTTGCAGTGGCTGCTGGTTTCAAACCAAGGTCAGCAGCCCCAGGCACGGCCACCCAACACCAAGGCTTCTCAAGAAACATGTAAAGATATACAAACTCTTTTTTTGCACTCTTTTAAGAAAAATACATTAGATGCTTTAGAGATAAGCCTGGTCTTCCAAAAGACAATTGGTGTTTTTTCTCAATTCCTTTGAGTTGAAATGACTTTGGCAAAAGCTCGATCTAGGGCAGAATTATTAAAGGGAAGAAATGTTAATAAAGTGTTTTGTGTTTAACACGGTTCTTTATTCTAATATTCTCAGAGATGTTGATATGTAAATGTGCATTTGAACATTTCATTGTCAAATGCACTTAGGTTTGGAATCTTTTTTGAACAATGTTGAGGTAGTTAGTTTATTGTGCCAACCTGGATGATAAACACATGTGGGGTTAATTGAAGGGAGGAGGAATAAATGGCTCGGTGAGCCTCGCCTTCCTAGTTCTCAGGTTCCTTGCTTTGTGATGGTCGGACCAGGGTGCAGCTGCCTTAGCAGTTCCCTGCTTCAGTTGGCAAGGCTGACTTCCTGCAAGACATCCCTGAAGCCACATGGACCTACCCCGATACAGCCCTGGGTGCTGGGGCACCCGTGTGGAGACCCCTGCCAGTGCTGAGATGCTTACACGCTCACTGACTTGGCTTTCCTCCTACAGTCAGCATCATCGTGTGTGTTCTGTGAGATGGAGGAGGACCTTGTGGATTATGGGTGCCGGACATATGGGTTAATGTGGGACTTGTAGGCTTGGGCAGCACTGGGCTGGGATGTTTTCTTGATGCGCACTTAACCTTTATATAAAACTCTCTCTTATACATGAATTTCTATGGATTTGTTTCTCTAAAGTACCCAGACTAACACAAATGTATCTTGAAGAACTAGCATTCCTATGCCTTCCACTCCCACCCCCCATCCCCACCCTTGAGAGCTCAGCGCAATAATGGAGAGATACTGTTTACCTGCTTAGGAGACTTGATGTGTCAGTAGATATTCCATGAGGATTGAAATCACCTCCATTGTTTTGAAATGAAACAAACCCCTACAATCCAAGGAAGACCCTCTCTAAAATGGATTAATACAGTGATTACAACAACGGGCTCAAGCATCACATCAAATGTGAGGCTGGCATAGGCCTGGGCACACAGGGTCACAATGACTCAGAACTGACTGCACAGCAGCTAACGGCTACAGTCGAGGAAAAGCACAAGGAGACTATATGCAAATGAAGACGTGGACTTAGCCTTCATCAAGGATTCAACACACAGACAGCGAATGATAATATATGAATAAACTGACATACGTCGATGGAGTCCATAATTTTAAAAAATCCATACATCGTTTATGCTTCTTTATCTTTGAATAAACTTTCATGCATAACACAAAGACCTACTAGCAATGTCTCTTGTATTTCCAGCAGCACCTCAAGCTCAAACATGTCCAAACTGAAATCATTCTAAATTCTTTCCAACACTTTCCTATCTACCCAGTCATCGAAGCACACACGAAGGAGCAGACCAGTATTATTCTGTAGCACAGTCCCCACCTGTAGCCCCTCAACAACTTCATGTTAGAAAGCTTCATCTCATCTCCGTCTTCTCTGTCTCCAATGCTGGTCTTGGTTCGGATCTTCATCATTCACCATTGTAAACATTTTCAGAGTGTCCTAATTCACTTCCTTTTCTCTAATCTTGTCTTCCCTCCACAAGTCTTTTCTTCAGATTGAAAAGTGTAATTCTAGTTACATGATTCTCTCTTTATTAATTACTTGTCAATCGTGTCTTCATTGTGGTATACACAATGAAGCCAAAAATTCCTTAATCTCTTATACCCGTTTTCTTAACCTTGCCTACCGTTCAATCTTCCCCGGGTGGTACTGTTTCGCACAGGACACAGTCCAGTCAGAGTCATCTGACTGTGTTGTCCCCGTCTTGCCAGGCGGGGATACGCCTGGCTCTCTTCCTCCTTTTGACGCCCATCGCCTTCCGCATGCACCGGCCACTCGAGCCCAGTTTACGCATCTTTTCGACAAGCTCACGTGGGTCATTCTCCTCTGTGGAACCTTCCCTCATTTCCTTCCTCTCTTCTGTACACTCACAGAGTTTTATTATAATTCTTTGCTCACAAGCTCATTTTTCCTGCCAGATGGTAAGTTTCTAGAGGTAAAAAGATTGTGTGCTGTTCATCCTAAAACCACCACATCTCTATCTAGCTCTTGATATATGGAGGAGTAATTTAAAAGTGTGTATTTAGTGAGCAGCCATAATTTCTTTTTATAGATGACACAATATAACAGTTTACTGCCTATTCCTGATTATGCATAATTATATATCTATATTTACATATCTATCTACCTCCCCTCTATTAATCATGTGATAACATCTATTTTGTTGTTGTTGTTGTTGTATGAAAAGTGAAGAAGAAACGTGTGAGAGGGCTTCTGAAAATTCATGGAATAATCGCACTAACTTTTCATTTAATTTTTCCACAAACTTTTAAAAGTCTCTTCGTACTTCTCTTTGGATTCTTCCCTCAGACATCCTGTTAAAGAGAAGGGGAATTCCATTCTTTTTTTCTGTCCTGTCTCAAAAACCCAACCATTATGAACAGATTTGGAAATTAAAAAAAAAAAGATTTGATTCTAAGCTCTGACTGTTCCGGAGAGTAATTATGTATGTAGACGCACAAGCATGTTCTCCCGAGAAAACAAAAGTCCTGTGTAAGCTTCCTTATTTCACATCCTCACCAAACTCGCTGCAATCGGTCAATGCTGACTCATAGTGACCACCGTGTCTTTCGAGACTGTAACTGTTTTTAGGAGTACAAAGCCCTGGCTTTTTCATGTGAAGCTGCTGGTGGTTTTGAACTGCTGGCCATGAGGATTGCAGTCCATTGTGTAACTACTGCACCCCTGGATTGACCAACCCTTCTGTCTGCCATGTTTGGAAGGGCAGGAATAGTTCTATAGGGTTCTAGAGTCTAAACTTCGGACCCAACAGGGACATTCAATGCTGAGACCCTGACTTAGAGTGCTAGCCACTTATTTGTGTAGCAAAAGGAAACATTAGCATTTCTTCCCTGGAAAAAAAAATGCCCTGAATTAAACTGGAAACACTTTTTATGAGAATTGTAAGAACCCATGCCAATGGGACACTGTTGGGATTTGTCATTCTGGTTGAAACTGATTAGATAGCTGTACCTAGTGAAATGGTTTATAAGATTGAAATTGTGAAGCCAACCACATTTGAAAACCACTTCCACTGTCATATCCCCCTCTACATTTCTTACTATAATCGTTATGTGAGGAGTAGTCTTTAAAAAGCGTGTTCCAATGAAAAGAAAGAGAGGTTTTCCGATATGCTGGAGTGCTCCATTTCTTCAATATGCTGGATGCTCTTACAAAACACCACGTTCGCCCTGGTGGGCACAAAAGCCTTATCCCTTGCTCTAATGATGTGCTGGAAGATGCTGTCTGTGAAGTAGGAAGGCTACGTGGGAGGCAGTGAAAAAGATGCTTTGAACTAGAAAGAAACATAATAGAGCTTTAATACTTACAGCTGTCCTCTTCTTCAGTGATACATTTCACAACATAACAGGCGTAGATGAACCCTGCCAGCTGAAACAGAACAGAGGCGCTTTAGACATCAGGCAAACGCAATGGGAAAGCCCTTGCTGGGGGCCTGGCTTCGCCGAGGCAGGCAGTTTACACTTAGAGGCAGTGAGTTCCCAAACATCCCATCAGAAATGGATCTTGACCCCGTGTCAATTTGTGACTCAAGTAATGTTGCACTGCTTTATAAATAAACATATTGCTCTCTTTTTCTCTGACCTGTATTGCTGTGTAAACTTTGTTCATTGCAAGGCAATCAAACACAGGTTATATGAGGTGCAGAAAAACAAAAACTTTTATGACCATTCATTAATGAATTCATATTTGCATTTATGCCATTCAAATTCAAGTTTATGTTTCCTTAACCCAGAGCTTAAGAGTCTAAAATTGGATGGAAAAGGCTTTTAGGGAAACATATTACAGAGGTTTGTGTGTGTTTCATGGACTCTGAGATTTGGCACTGAAACAGGAACCAAAGTACAGGTAGATAGATGTAAGAGGACGTGTTACAGAAAGTGACGAGTTGGACACCTGCAAGTGAGGATTCTCACAATGCAATCGATCAGGATTGTCCACATTGCATCATCCCTTTTGAACTAATCTTCAAAAAGGTCTTTGTATTCAGGGGAGGCTCTCCTCCCTGAGATGAGTCCCTGTAGAGGAGTATAGTGAAGTCACTTGATATCTGTCCCCACAGACAGATTGATTTTATACTCATCACATCTGCATATTTTAGGCAAATTATGAGTACTGGTTGAAGTCAACAGCCAATAATTTCCTGATACATGAAAAAACTTAATCCTCCCCTAGATTAATATAGCTTGAAGACATACTACAATGATGAAGATTATTCACAATGAGATTAAGACAGGCACTGGCCTGGTCAAGTTTTGATCCCTTATGACAATATCTGGTGTGGGGCAATGGGGCTTCAAGCAGGGGGCTAAGCACACAGCAAAGAGAACTGCTGAGCTAAGCCTAATGAAGTTGTTTTTTATTTGCAGACAGATAGTCATCTTGCAGGAAGACATGAGCGGAGCAGCTCAGAGTCAAAGGGTAGGCATTTAATGAGTGCAGGACGATGGAGAGGTAAAGAGAGAGCCAGTTAACAAGAATACCAGAAATCTCTAACTTGGGTTTGAGGCAAAATGTGTGTCTTGGCAGATGCCACTTCATGGGATAGAGCCGAAGCTCTCTATTCCCGTAAGAGCTAGTCTGGGAAACCCAGAGTGGCAGTGCTTCTCTGTGCTAGCGAGTCCCGATGAGCCAGCATCCAGTCAGTGGCAGTGAGTTTGGCTGGGATCCGGAGACAGAAAAGGAAGCAGCCATGAAAAACAGATGGGGAAGAAGGTCCGGGCAATACATTATCCCAGTACCTTTGTTTATAGGTCCTGGGAGGGACATGTAACACATCACTCCCTTCTCTCAAATACACTATCTGAACCAGTCAGTACACATCATAGAGAACGGAGAAAGAAAGCACCCGACGATGTCGTATCAGAGTTAGTTTTATTTTCCCCATTAAAAAACTCTCATAGGACAATAATCACATTAGTATTTGTCTCTTGGGATCCTATGTTTCCATGGCCAGTGACAAGAGTGATACTAAATTAAACCCAAACTTACTGTCACTGAGTTCAGTCTAACTCAATTTATAGGACAGATTAGAACTAGCCCTGTGGATTTCTGAAGCTGCACATTTTTACAGAGCAGAAAACCTCATTATTCTCTTGTGAAGTAACTGGTGGTTTTGAACTGCTGACCTTGCAGCTAGCAGCCCAGAGAGTAACTCACCGCATCACTGGGTCTTTTAATAATATGGATAGTAAGAACCATTTCCTTACATACTAGAAGCATAGTTATCTGGGTTATTATTTTTAATTGGAACTCCCACCCCCCCTTTTTTTTAAAAACAGGATACAAGTTCAGAAACTCACCCTCATCACCACAGAGTAAACTGAAGCTCACAGTGATCGTATTGACCCTGATAGAACTGCCCCCCGTGGGTTTCCAAGACTATGACTCTTTAAAAAAATCATTTTATTGGGGGCTCGTACAATTCTTATCACAATCCATCCATCCATCCATTGTGTCAAGCACATATGTACATTTGTTGCCAGCATCATTCTCAAAACATTGGCTTTCTACTTGAGCCCTTAATATCAGCTCCTCATTTTTCCTCCTCCCTCTACCCTGCCCCCTCCCTCATGAACCCTTCATAATTCATAAATTATTATTTTGTCATATCTTACACTGTCTGATGTCTCCCCTCGCCTGTTTCTCTGTTGTCCATCCCCAAGGGAGGAGGTTATACATAGATTCTTGTAATTGGTTCCTCCTTTCCACCCCATATTCCCTTTACCCTCCAGGCATCGCCACTCTCACCACTGGTCCTGAAGGGGTCATCTGTCCTGGATTCCCTGTGTTTCCAGTTGCTATCTGTACCAGTGTACATCCTCTGATCTAGCCAGATTTGCAAGGTAGAATTGGGATCATGATAGTGGAGGGAGAGGAAACATTCAAGAACTAGAGAAAAGTTATATGTTTCATTGTTGCTACACTGCACCCTGACTGGCTCATCTCCTCCCCACAACCCTTCAGTAAAGGGGTGTCCAGTTGCTTACCGATGGGCTTTGAGTCTCCACTCTGCACTCACCCTCATTTACAATGATATGATTTTTTGTTCTGATGATGCCTGATACCTGATCCTTTTGACACCTTGTGGTCACAAAAGCTGATGTGCTTCTTCCATGTGGGCTTTGTTGCTTCTTAGCTAGATGGCTGCTTGTTTATCTTCAAGTTTTTAAGACCCCAGATGCTATATCTTTTGATAACTGGGCACCATTACCTTTCTTCACCACCTTAGCTTATGCATACGTTTGTCTTCAGTGATCCTATCGGGAAGGTGGGTACTGACTGATATGATTTTCTGTTCTTTGATGCCTGATACCTGGTCCCTTCTACACCTCATGGTCACACAGGCTGGTGTGCTTCTTAGATGTGGGCTTTGATGCTTTTGAGCTAGATGGCTGCTTGTTTATCTGCAAGCCTTTAAGAATCCAGGTGCTATATTTTTTGATAGCCGGGCACCATGAGCTTTCTTCACCACATTTGCTTATGTACACATTTGTCTTCAGCGATTGTGTCGGGAAGGTGTGCCTCATGGAATGCCAATTTAATAGAATGTGTTCTTGCATTGAGTAAGTACTTGAGTGGAGGTCCAATGCAAGGCTGTTACTCTTTACAAGAATAGAAAGCCTTATTTTTCCCTGGTGGAGCAGCTGGTGGTTTCAAATTGCTGACCTTGAGGTTAGCAACCCAATCCATAACCTCTAAGCCATCATGGCCTCTTCTTACCTCTCCTGTCCTATAGGGTCGCTATGCATCAGAATTGACTCGATGGCAAAAAACTGGATATTAGGTAAAGGCTGCCTTCTCTGATTTGGCTTTAGCAAAGATTTTGATTTGACCAAGCCAAATTACACAAAGATAGGGACATTTTCATTGGTTTGAGAAAAATAGAGGCCACCCTCGCATTACTTCTTACCCCTTTATCCTGCAACTAACACATCACGCCTCCATACAACAAAACAAAAACAAACCATTTTAAAGCTGTCATATATACTTGAGTATAAGCCAACCCGAATATCAGCCAAGGCACCTAATTTTACCACAAAAACTGCATTAAAAATGTGCTGAAAAACTTGGCTTATACACGAGTATATACGGTATACTACTTTGGAAGCAAATTGTGAAGCCATTCTTCCAAGACACCTTTGGGTAGCTTCTTCTGGAACCAATGAGAAAGGTCACATCACTGTGGGCTGCGTTCCCGTGGCTTCTTTCTCCTTGGTGTCTGCACGCAGGTGGGGCTCGGTAAAGCCGGGGCTCTGGGTCTGGTCAAACTCGGGCCTCTGGCTCCAGTTCTTCCCGGACATTCAGTCCCTTTAGGCCTGGCTACATGCTATCGATTCCTCTTCGATAGGTTCTTCTTTTTGACACCAAATAAAGATCACTGCACTATTTATAAAGCACCCTCCCCCCCTAATCAGAGCATTTCTTTTGATTATTACTCATCATTTCATTACCTTGAGATAAAAATTTCAGTAGAAAGCATTGATGCATTTGGAGTTTAGGGCTAGTAAATTTAAACTTCTCATTAAAATGTCACTAGCTTCCCGATTATTAACTGCAGCCTCCCAGAATGCAACCAGGCATTCTATTCTGCTTACCAGTGATCTTTTAATTGCATTCGGTAGCACCCCTTAACTATCTGGGGAGCTCCTTTGATATAAAAGTAAATCCTGCTGCATTTCATTACAAAAGCTTGCTGATTAAGAGAACTTTAGCTTTTAAATTGGTCACCTTTAAACACAAATAGAAATTTGTTTTCCCCAAATTAATCAAGATTCATAAACCTCTGCTACCTTCCATTTTTTTCAGCACCATATAAGCTTCTAATTTAATTTTAACTCCCTAATACCAATTTATAAAATTTACCAACAGAAAAGGGGGTTCGAGTTTTTTTGTTTTTTTTTTTGTATTCTGAATGCTTTCTATAATGTGCAACTCTGCTAATTACTACCAGGACTTCAAAATTGATTAACCCGTTTTTCCAAACTACATTACTCTTGACATTTTGTCTTCATTGTGGGAAATAATGTGCAATTTGGGGTGTTGTCACAGCATCCCTGACCTCTACCTCCTAGATGCCAATAGCAGCACACCCGCTCTAGGCTAGATGACCACAGATGGCTGCAGACAGGGCAAAATATCCCTGAGGAGGCCCAATGTCCAGCTCCCCTAAGGCCACTGCATCGAACACAATCTTAACCCCAGTGAGTATGCAGTCTTGCATCAGGAATATACATATACTGTAATTGTAATTAGAAGTAGATTAAAGTAGCTGCCAGAAGAAATGAAGACATATGAAAGGCTATGAAGTGCCAAGTAGTAAGCTGGGTATGGTCACAATTGAACGATCCTTATACCACCCATGGGAAAGC